GACAAGCCCTTCGAAAGGGAAGCGGCGAATTGGTCGTCAGCGCGAGGGTCACCTGGAGGAGGAGGTGATGTGAGGAGGAGATGAAATCATGTGGACAGACATGTAGCCAGGTGAAAACGTTGACAGAGAACCAAACTCAATGGAGACGTTCGGCTGAAGTTGTACGCTCCTCTAGGAACTAAAGGAAACAATAATAATAATAATTTCCTGAATGTTTCAGTTTCCGTAATAAGCAGAAGTAGTTGAAAGCCTGTATGACGCAGATCCACTTGACACGTATCCTAGATTTTCTGACGAAAATCGCTTAACATTCAAAAAAGAAAAAGCTAGTATTATTCACGCCTTAATAAAGCACAAATTTACTTATTGTGATCAGCTTTATAGTTAATCTGACCCAAATTAGACACAAATTTGACTACCATGCAATACCATACATACTGTTTGAGTTAATTTTCAGATTTTTCGTTCCAGGGCTGTGCCGAGTAAGTCCTTATATTCTTTTCATTTTTTTTCTCTATTCAATTGATACTGGTATTGCAGGATTAGAATTTGTCTTCTGTGGTAGAATATAACTGCCGGGCATGTATTTGATGTAATACTGTGATACGACGGTAATTTTCTGATGCTCTGCTGTATGATTATGTCCTATATTAAGTAAACTTATCTAATATCAACACATAATAATAATAATAACTTTTTATTACAAGAGTTTGTGTGCAAAATGAATTATACTGATTATTAGTTCAGCCGAATAATAATGTTTCACTTGCAGATTTTCAGATAAACCGGTTCTCTTTGACTACTAATATTCTAATCCTTTAAAGTCATAAAATAAAGTAAAACGTCAGTTGTTTTGTGTTTCAATCAGGTAGTGAATTTTTGCATCGATTGTAGGTTCAATGGTATAACTGGTTTTTAAAAATTTATGTGAAGTGGTCAGTCCAAATTGTATATAGGCGACCGATTAGTTGCTAGTCCTCGGAGAAGCAATCAGCACTGTGAAGCCAACTGAACCCTCCAACAAGACTCACATGGGAGGGACACACTTTCTGGAGGGAGTGAACGGTTTCCAGAGCAGCTTTACACTTATCATGCAGGTTAAGACGAGGATGACCCACTCCTTTGCAAAAAGAACTAATCTCATGGAGGATTTCATGATGAGCTGACATCAGTAAGAGAACCACTGAAAACCTGAGAATACTGGACAGCTGTTTCTGTTGTCCTAGTTTGGGACCTGCTTTTCATCAGCACGCACCAACCGGAGTTCCAACCCACGACCTTCTGGTTACAAGGCGAGCTCGTAGACAATTTAGCCACTGAGACCCGATCCAATGGTCCTTGAATTCTAACCTCTGCCAATTCACAACACAGCAGGACCATTTCGCGACGTCTTCTTCGATAGGTTACTACTTCATCTTCAGCCTGCTGTGCCCTACTGGTCATGGCTGTCCGCACCCACCGGGCTCGAACCCCAGCTGGTGCGCACTGCTGAAGAGTCCCAAACTAAAGCGGAACAGCTGTCCAGTACTTACAGGTTTTCCAGTGGTTCTCTAACTGATGTCAGCTCATGATGAAACCCTCCATGCAATCAAACAAAATCCCTACTAAACCAATACTTAAAAAACTAATATGTCCCGCTTACGGCACTTCTTTTTGTCTTTTTTTTCTTCCTTTACGTTCCTAGTGGAACACAGGGCCTCAAGCTAGAGACTTGAAGTTTTGGGATTGGATTGTTAGCCTTATGCCCCACCTTCCCTCTTCACCAGTCTTATTACTCCCTTCGCGAGGTAACGAAGTGCGTTACTGGCCGGAGATAGAACTCTAGACCACATGATGTGTGGTCGGCGAGCATTCTTATGCTGTGCCACTGACGCTTATGGTACTTCCTTTTATGCACATTCATTATTTTTCACTTCATCCTGCAGCATAAATTAAACGTTTTTATGGCTGTTTATGCAACGCATCAACTGCCTCAAAAATGTTTTTTCTTCCATGTTCCACTTTTGCATTTACTTTTTTTCACATGATATATTTATGTCGTCGTTCAACCATTATTTTAGGTATATTTCTTTCAACAAGGTTCTCAGTATTCTTATTAACTTTTTCAGCTGCAATGTGCACTGGACATAAAGCAAATAAAGCAAGAGATCCGGCCGAAGAACATCAACGAAGCCACGGGCATATACCACATCAGCATGGATAGACGACCAGTAAGCGGCTCAATGCTATTATATACATCGGAAGAGTCTTACTAGTGAAGCAACCATCAGCTTTTTACTTCCTGCTGGGTTTTTTCGGGTCGTCACATCTCCACTAGGAGGTTGGCGAGATGTAGTGGTAAACAATTCCTCAAAATTATTAGCCTATAACATTCTTTACTCAAAACTGGATACTGATCACCATTGATTAATCCGACGAAGGTCCACAGTCAGGCACCCATACTGTTGGGCACGCTGCCGTGTTACGTGCGCTCCTTCATTCATGTTCCCTCGCCAACGAAGCAATCAAAACTGCAGTACGATTTTAAACCCGAAATATACTTCGTATTTGGGGTGATCCGTCTGGTGTTTCGATTTGTTCTTATTCTGTGTCTTTTTTTGCAGCAGCGTATTTGTTGAAATTTAAGAAAATCTCAAGAGTAAACTTTACTTCTTAACAGTATATAAACTAGATTTTTCTATTCTGGAAACGATAAGACACTGTCACAGTAACAAAACTAGTGGCACATTATAAAAATCTTTATAATTAAAGAGAGATTTGCGAATTATATAGAATATATGCCAAAATAATGATTCTTTGAGCTAGTACATGTGTAAAACTTGGGCACCGTAGCTGTAAGTGATTCCATATTAGTTTGTTTATTAGATACATCACACAGTAAAACAGTATTACTTACTGCACGACAATGTTTCGAACAAACTTTACTGTGGTTCATAATCATATTATCAATTTTAATCACACGACTTCGAAACCTGAGTTTTATAGGTCTCTTTGTTCTCGTCTATTTGTCGTCATTGGGGAAGTAGAACTTTACAAATATCTGGGACGGGTGTTGAATCATTCCTATTACACGTATTTGCAGTTGTTTCGATACTGGATTTTAAAACTGCCATCTTACCCTATCCATCCTATTGTATGGTTGCATGTAACTGCTTGCAATGAGTCGTATTACTGAATTTTTCTCTAGATTTCTTATCTTATTCGGGTCAACCAATCTAGATTTCGCTGCTAGGTTTTTATGCTCGACTAGTCTGACTGCACCTGTTCTACTACTTTGACCTATGTATTTGACCTGACAATCATTCCAACAGAGTATTAGATAAACTACATTGTTTTGTTTAATGCTCCGTTCAACGGGATCCTTTCACCGACAAGGCTTGTTTCTAATCGAGGTTGTGGGTGGTTTGAATGCCAGCCACTTTTATTCCTGCCTCGTTAAGAACTCTGCTTAAGGTTTCCGATGATCCTTTACTGGATGGAATTACTACTGATGATTTCGATTCTTTATTGTTGGTGTTGTCTTGCGCATATTTGACACACATGTCGTCATTAATATTATTATTATCACTACTATTGTTGTTTGTTTTATTTTTACATTCTCTGCATACATTCTGATTAATTTATGCGAGTAGTTGTTAATTTTTAAATTTCTTTTATGCCCCACTTTCTGTCTTAGATATTCCTTCGTACTACTTAGTTTTTCTGCTCCATTATTTAAACATTTCACCGATCTTATTTTTACTGACATGGGATGGGATGATCGGAAGTCCAAATATCTGTTTGATTGTGTGGGTTTCTTGTAAATACTAGTGTTTAACTTCCCATCTTCTTTCCTCTTTACAAGCTACATTCTAACATTGGCAGTCCTCCTTCCTGACTTTCCAATTCAAAAGCGAATTGAATTGTTTCCACCTTTCAGTTCGAAAAGTCTATCTTTATCCTGTGTTCTAAGTACAGTGAATGCGTCACCTACATACCATCATCATTTTTAGGGTGGGGCTGAACGTTTCAATCACTATGTTTTCCAACCTATCCATGAATATATCTGCCACAACCAGTGATATTGGTGACCCCATGGTAACTCCCTCAGTTTGTTTGTATATTTCCCTCTGGGATTTAAATACTGTGGAAGTTAGGCATAGCCGAATTCCCAGCATTATGTTCTCGAATGGGACTTTTGTCCTAAGTTCGAGTTCTTGGTCAGAAATGAGTTTGTTTCTGACTGCCTACCTCTATAGCCATATTCATTTGTATACGTGTATATATAAACTGGCAATGTCAAAACTAACCATTTTCTCTTCATTATCTAATTTTAAATGATCTAATCTATGTTTTAGTTCCTAAGATTTTTGTTTGAAACATTGTCATCCAGTAAATCATACTGTTAATAAACAACCTTGTATGGAATTCTTCGAGCTAGATTTGCATTATTCATCTATATAGAACGTCCCTGAGAATTTGAAAAGATGTTAGCAAGCTAAACTGTGTATTATGAAGCCAGTTATTCTGACATAAAACCCTCCATATTTCGGTTCAGTTTCACTGAAATTTTACTTCCAAAGTTTCTATGTTCTGTTGTGTTTTAAATTCGTGCGAAAACTCGAAGTCTGGTTTGTCAAGGCAATGAAGGCATTCAAGAGAGTTTTATTAAATATATATATATATATATATATATATATATATATATAATTCAAATAACTGATGAAACGGTTCATGAAACGGCTCCTTTCAATACAAAATAGCCTATAAGCAAATGAACACAACTCGTGATATGTATAAGAGTAAAACATTGCAAAATGATGGATACTGTTCAGTTATCAAAGAAAATAAATGTTTCATTTCACTTCTTCTCTTCATCTTCGCATATTCATCTTTTTATTGTAACATGAAAATGAGAGTGATCAAAGAATTACAAAGTTAGTAGATATTGTTAAATTTACTTTTTAGCACGTAGAAGAAAGCTTTTTTCTCCTGCAGTTTCAAATTTGTCTGTCGTGATGAAACAAATAAGAATTAAAATAAATGAAGAAACTTTGAAAAAATGTAACTTTTAACTAAGTAGATAGATATTATGCAAAAGATAGAATAATTAGTCGTTTGAGAATAGTATGATTTAAGGTTATTGCATGTAGCAGTGGATTATTGAGTTTGCAAGATGTTTAGTTAAACAAATCTTTAGTAATTTCTCTAAAATTTCTGTTGAGGATTTAAATGTTTTTGCCATCAAGTTGCCTATCAATATCATCTCAACTACTGTAAACTACTTTGCTTAGGGGAACCGAGGAAATATCTCCTGAAATATGATTTTTAATATTCACACTATCTCCGATGACATTCATGAGTTGTGTATTTTGTAAATCATCTATTTGTGCACCTTCAGTATCATGTTTATTCGATCCTGAGGTCATTATGTCTAGTAGGTCTGCGGTACAACCTCCATTCAGCTTTTGATATCGATCAGACGCAAATGCTTCATGGTTAATGATATTTTTGTCGCCTTGATTTAAGCTGCACTCTACAATTGAATTTGTTATATTCTCAGCAATTATTGGATTATTATTACACATTGTATCCAAGCGTGTTTCTAAATCAAGTATAGCACTGTGCAGTTTGGCTACAACTTGCAGGCCTGGAGCTGATGGACTTGTAAGCATATCAGCGGCCATTGAACTTCTTGCATCAAAATTGCTTTTTCCATTAGCATTTCTATTCTCTGATCCATCGAGGTGTACTCCATTGATCACATCTTCCAGGTCTGTATCAAGTGCAGCGCCAACCATATCAGTCACATGATAAATTTGTTCTAAGAGTTGTTGATGACTACAGAGTAAAAATGAAAATATTGCCTACCTGTTAGTTAGCTGTCAACATTTAAAAATAAATAATAAATTTCATGATTACAAGAATATTCATGTGATTATTGCTGTAGACGACGCCTTATGTAAGTAAAAAAAGAAAACAAAATGGAAAAGGAATCAATGACTAAATTATGTGATGAAAACCAGTTTTTTTTATTACCTTTGCATTCCAAGGCTCCAGATTTTGAAGTTTTATTGGTGGACTTTCGTTACTATGGGATGAGGTTGCTAGCTTCACTTCCAAGCTTCCCTCTGTTCCAAATGTACTAACAACTGGGCGAGATTTCGAAGGTTAGCTTGGGATCGAACCCGGAATAGGTGCATAGTAGTAGGCAGATGTTCTACCGTCCAACCACCGACGGATGATGAGAATTTTTAAGTGGCAGAGGTAAAGTAACTAAGGAAAGCTGGTAAAATGAACTTGTATTGTGATGAGAGCTGTCTGCAGGTCAAAATCTGGAGACAGCAATTTACGTCAATGTTTACATCACGAATCGAGGTTATGAGAAAAAAACAATAACAAAGCTTAACCTCCAGGAAATCACCATCCAGTCACAGGAGACTTAACGTGTGCAAATACAATTCACAGATATATGGCCTGACTTTCTAAGAAACGGCTACAAGCAAAACAGAATAACCTTCAGCGAGAAAACAACCAGTCAGAAGACGCTGCTTCTCTGCTAACAATAAAGCTAATAATAATGCACATGCAAATCTATAAATATGCCTTGATTTTCCCAATAAGCGATCTGTGGCCTGGCCCTTGTCCTCTGTCGTTACAATATTAGTATGTTAAAAAGGTGTGCGAAGTAAGAATTTAAGTTATTGTATAATAAACCTATGCACTGAAAGCAAAATCTCCACAATCTGTTATGAGGCTTTCGGAAGCTTGCTGCCTCCAGGAGAATATAACACTGCTTAGGCCATATACATATGAATTTTAACAAGCTGTGGTATTATTAATATTATTATATTATTATTGTTCCCTTGGGTTCCTAGTGGATCATAAGGCTTCAACTACACGTTTCCATTTGCTTCTCTCTTCCTTCTGCTGTACTTTTCACCTGCATCCATGTTGGTCCATATTGTTGCACCTCCTCTTCACACGATCTCCTCCATGTCACCCATGCACTGACATGCCCCACTCGCCACTTCCCTTTCGGATTCCACTCGAGCGATGGCCTGACGCGCGCGCGATATCACCAAGCGGCCTTCTCAGCGAGTGTCCAATCCATCTCAATCCACTTTCTCCTGCATATTTGTTGGTTGGCGATTGGTTCTTGCTTTGTTAGTGCCCATAGTTTCTTGTTCGTGATTCTTTCCGGCCCGGCCCGGCCATCTGATCTTCAGTATAGAGCCAGCGAAGACAGTTGTTGATAAAGGTCTGGTCTGCAACAAGCTGTTGGAAATATTCTTTGTGACCCACCCGGGTAGTTTCTAATCCGTATAGAAGAACTGACTGACTTGACGTTTGTATTGAAAATCCAACCGAATTTGATGTTGATGCTGAGTGACGAAGATTTCAGGTTGATTGATGAATGTGTTTCTCGCCTTCCCGATCCTCGCTCGATTTGACATCCTCGTCGGTTCCGACTTCCTGTAGTTGAGACAATTCTCCCTAGATAAGTGAATGAAGTAACCTCTTTCAAATCCCTCCCGTTGACGATGATTGGCGCTGGATGTTGTTGCTGTAGTTTTTGGTTGGTTGGTTGGTTATTTTCACAACCTCCTGGAGTCCTATCTTCGCCGGCTGCTTCTTCGACCAGTTTTCGCCTGTATGTCTTCGATTTTGTGTGTGTGACATCAAACATAAATCATCCATGCGCGAAATCCAGGTCTTCTAGGTTCTTCACGTCGGTCCAGGATATCCCTGTGTGCTAGTTTCCCACTGCCTGATGCATAATCCAGTTAGTCCACCACAATTAGGAATATCATTGTTGATAGATAATATGCGCTCTTGTCTGACTTCTGTGTTTACTCCAAACGCCTCGCTGAGTTTTCCGTTGTGGATCACTTGATATGTGCCGTTGTTTCGCGGCTGTTGAATAAGGTTGATAAATATTTCGGGTACTCCGTATTACTCGAGTAGTTTCCAAATTACTTCGCGGTCAACGCTGTCTGTCGAAGGCCTTTTCAAAGTCTATAAATTTGAGGTAGAGGTTTGATTACCATTCCATGCTTTGTTCTGTGATGATGATGCGTAAAGTTGCAATTTCATCAGAACAATCTGTGATAAAGGGCTGTCAAATTTACGCTTCCGCTAGTGTATGCAGTACAACAAAGTTACATGGGTATATTGTTCACTAATGTATAACTTGAGCAGCAGTCGTTTCCCCCGCGTTATTCAAGTATCTTATAGTGTTTAAATAATGTTTTCTTCTTTGTGCACTTATGCTCAGTAGTATGAATAGTGCAGTATGTAAAGTGTCTAAAATGTTTTTTATATCTTCAAACTGTATACTGTACAATGCCTAAATAAATGTCGCACTGGTGACAGTTATTTTTGCACAGTTTCAAGTTGAAACTTAGTTGCATTGAAACAGACAACTTGTTGCGTGGTCTTTAGTGTTATGTGGTCATGAAACGCTTACTTCACTCCATTAAGTCGCTCTCTATTTCCTTTCAAATAACTGCTAAGCAATGTTTGTTTATCCACTGAAGTTTACCTGGGGTACCGAGTGTCTTCAATAGGAAAAGGTGGCAAAACAAGAAATGGCATGCATCCGCTTTTGTTTAACCTCAGTTCGCTACATAAAACGAAACCTGGACATGACCTTTTAGCACATATGTGATACGCTACATAGAAGTAAAACAAAGACAGTTTCCTGTGAATACAAATTACTGAAATCTATCAGAAGCACATTTGAGAGCGTTATTTTCGATTAGTTTTCCTAATTTTTGGTGAGATATGTTGCACAAATGACAAAACACAATTGTTATAAACGGCAAACGCTGAATTCTTTTAAAATATTAGGAATCTAGTTTCTACACAAACAGTTAGGTAGCCTGAGTTGTCAGCCAAGCGGGCGGTTAGAATTAATTAATCATCAGGCGGCTTTTGTTTAAGTTTAAATCATTCAAGTGATCAGCGAGCGGACTAATCGAAATGCGTAACTAACAAAAAATTAGTTTTACACCCCTATGGTTCATCTTGTCTAGCTGAAAAATTCAATTTTAAATTTCACTTCCAGATCACACATTGATCGTTATTTCATAAAAATATCACCCGAAATTTGCAAGATTTATCATTCACTTTTAAAAGCCTTAATGAAATTAACATGTATATTAGTACTGCTCCTGTGGAGTGAGAAAGTTACATAGGCCGTACAATTAGGCGTATTCCTCGTCGAATTTCCGAACATCAACCTGCATATTGGTTAAGGGAAGGACAAACAGAATCTATTCGCAGCGCCATTCTATCTCATCTTGTGGATAAAGAACACAAGACTGAGAATAAATAGGCTTTTAAAGTCATTTACCGTATACCAACAAATCTCAATTTTGCCTTAAGAGTTCGACTACTAAAACTGCTAAGGCTGGCCATTGGGATCCATATTAAGAAGCCTAATTTGTGCGTGCAAAAGAAGATGGTTGGTTCAAACATCTAGGTTTGAATGATCCTCAATTTTCGTGGAATTTGTTCTAATTTTAGTTGATATTCTAATTGATACTATATCTCCATTATTATTATTATTATGATTGAAGCATCTTTAAAGAACAGTAATTCCATTGTGATCTTACTTTACAAATCGATATTATTTTTAAAAAACACTAATATTGTTATTGACTACCATTCTAGAATATTCTATACATTTAAGCATATACGTAATTGTAGAGCCAGAAGAGGAGAAAGTTGTCGAAAATGATATTCTTTGCTTAATCATTTTGTACGTTAGAACTGTTTGTTATTACTGTAAAGCATCAAGATGTAGAGAATCATTCGAAAGACAGGAAAGAAGAATTGTGTTTTGAAACACCATGATCTTTTTTATTAGAATTTATTAGGATCTGAAACACAGGCAGTTAAAAGACAGTTAAAACAGTGATTATTATTATTCATCGAAGAGATTAACCACTCGTGGTGAATTTTAAAGAGTCATCTTTAAAGAATATTGCAATTATTACTATCTTTGTCAGAACAATTGTAAGACGTTTAAAAACTTCTATGAGCAGGTAGTTATTGAAAATACCTCATTTTACAAAATGGGAGGAACACCATGCTTGAAGTGCCGAGGTTAAGTAGAACACACTTACCTATATCTGTAAACGTTCATAAGCAATGCATTTGAAAAGGCAAAACATTTCAATATATATTGTGCCGCTTCCTGAGGAAGTTAATTGTAACACTAATTGTATAATAATGCATTATCAGGAGTTTCAATCAGCCAATATGAGACTGTATTTCAAATCTTTAAATATTCCTTTTTTTAATACTATTACAAGACATATAAGCGGATAATACTAATGTTTTCAATTAGATCTTCTTCATGCTTCACTCTAATTTGCATGAAGTCCAGTTACAATAAAGTGAAACTGACAAAAGTTGAAAAGAAACAACTGTTCATGAAATTGCAGTTTAACGGGGACGTGGCTAGTGAAGTCTTACATCTGAGATTATCGAGAGCGGTAAAATGAACTTATACTGCCGTCACCCTTTGTTTGTCATTTCCAGTCGACCAGTTATGGTTGCTCAAGCGTAAAATAAGCTAACTAGCTGTGCCACTTCGATGTGTATCTATAAATTTAGTTGCTCCTGTGGAGAAAACTATATAGGGCGAAAACCTAGATAGCTGAACAAACATATTAATGAGCGTCTTCGTTCACGGTTTGGAAAGCGCCAAATAAAATCTATAAGAAGTTCTGTTTTGTCTCATTTGATAGATGGCGGTCACCAAGTAGACAGAAGGACTTTCAAAATTATCCATGGCATTCCATTTAATCTTTCGGACGGAATTCAAACCCGCCTGCTAAACACGCAGTTGAAGAGGCTATGGGAATTAATTCGGGAGAACAATCCTAGTCTCTTCCTTAGCTTAGGTGAATTCTAATTGAAAATCCCCTCACCCTTTCTTATTTTCCGTTTCCTTCTTACTTTTGTGATATTTATTTAAACTTTGATTATCTGTCCGCTACACCTTTAGTATTACATAACTTTTAAGATATGACCTAATTTATTGATTGAACTGTCTACATATACACATATACTATCTTTGGTATTCTTATCGCCAGCTGCATAAACCTTATTATCAATATTTTGTTGTCATTATAATCACCGTTATTAACTACGTTCAAAGCATTTACCACATTATTATTATTATTTGATCCAAAAAATCACTGTCATTGGTGAAAATGTTTATATATAAATCTATGTAACTTAGAGCAAAGCCTGAAGATCTAATTGAAAATAACAGTATTGTTCGCTTATTTGTCTCGTTCTGTTGGTGGAAGAAGCATCAAAGATAGGACTTCAAGTGAACATAGATAAAACAGAGGTGATGAAGATTCCTAGCCAACATCAACAGCAACAACAACAACAGACGATAATCAGCATCGATAGGAGGAATCTGAAAGAAACAACCTCCTTCACCTACCTACCGACCGACCTGGGAAGCATCGTTTCAACTACAGGCGGACGGAACTGGCGAGGATATCAAAGCAAAGATCGGGAAAGCAAGACAAGCTTCCATTACTCTCAAGTCTGTGTGGAGGTCAACAGCACTCAGCATGAATATAATAAGATCCGGATTCTCAACTCAACTGCGAATTCAGTGCTATTTACCATACGGATCAGAGACTTGGCGCGTCATGAAGAGCACCTCAAACAAACTACAGACCTTCATTGACAGCGGTCTTCACTGAATACTGCTCATGATCAGATGTTTGACCAGAAAAGATCAGCCACAGGGATCTCTGGTAGCAAATCAAACCAGCAGGAACCGATTGTTCAGCAAATAAGTAGGAAGACGTTGAGGTGGATTGGCTATACTCTGAGGAAACCATAAAGTGACATCATTTGACAAGCCCTCCAGTGAAACTCGAAAGGGAAACGACGAGTTGGTCGTCAGTGTGAGGAGGAGGAGGAGGTGATTCGAAGAGTAGATAAAAACATGTGGGCAGACTTGGAGCCAGGTGAAAACTTTAGCAAAGAACCGAACGCAATGTAGATGTTCGGCTGAAGCCCTATATTCCTCTAGGTATTAAAGGATATAATAATAATATGTCTTGTTCTAATGCTGTATGTCATCAGGACATGGTAAAACTACTCCAGAAACTTAGTTTCTGCACTGTGTAAAGACTATAAATAGGAAGAGATGTCACTAAAGACTAATGTAGGCGTTCTTAATGTACTTTTCGATGCCATTAGTTTTCATATATTGAGCATTTAATGTGATATGGTTTTATGCCTGTAAATTATTGAATTAGCCCGCCAGTAACTCTCAGACTTCATTAAATTGCCTTGTATTTATAAGTTGTCAGCTACAGAAAATCTATCTATTTTAGTGAGAAGGTGAGTTGGTCACCAATTCATCTGTTTGGTTTCAAAAGTCCATCTAGTGGTTATGATTTGAAGTCAGGAAGTTCAGTAAGGGAAATTCTTTTTAATGTACTATAGTTCAACGTATTTTTCTGTTAAATGTCAAAGAAGTAATAGTGATTTCCACGAATTTACTCACTGTCAAGCACTGTGTAATTGTATTCAGGGCTTTCATCTGACTGAGTCCAGATAACATTGAAAGTTTTGCTTACGTTTTACTCAGTTAAGCTTAAATTATGTAGACGAAACTAGATCAATATTAGGTTGTATCGATCTATAGTAGGTTATCAGACTATTAGTCAATTAAATTTGCAGCTTCTTTAGTCTATCACTCTGTAGACTGACAATACGTGTTGATGAATTCATTACTGTGTAGTCACATTTATACAAATCGAGTGTTGAAAAAATTAACTTTTTGCATAGTATCAAATTGTGAAGTTTTTTCTACAATAACTAAGTGCTCCATTCTACAGACTCAGCATGTAATAACAAAATTACTCATTTGAAATTCCACAGTAGTAGAATACATTTTGCAGATGATGTTGATCTGCAAAGAGAGTTGTGAAGTGTTTCTCTGTTTCCCATGAAAATGGACTTCTTCCGGATTAAAACTGGGGAAAAATTTACCTCATTTTTAGTATTTCTCTCATTTTATTGAAATTTATTCTGTGATCCTCATCAACTGACGACTGAGTCTTCGATGCTTCAGCTACATTCTTGATCTTATCAATTGAGCTACACGAGTTGGATAGTCGTTTATTCAATTCAAGATGTAAATTGTGTGCTGTGCACCTTCTTGTCTGCTGAGACTGTTTCTGATTCTCCAGACGAGTATGCATATACCTTGTGAGGTTACATTTCACGTCACTTTGAAGATTGATTAGATTCAGTGAGGTAATGTCACTGCTGTTTTTCTCAATGAAGGACAGCAATTTCTCGATGACAAGATTTAAGTTGACAAATACTTTCCTGAAAAAAAAGCAGTAATTATAAGTCAGTTATCAATTTGCTCAATATTTCATTACAAAACTGTTATAATATTCTACTAAACAGTATACCTAAGGGTAGCAGAAGTGAGTTTCACTCATATTTATCGCCGAGGCAACTGTACAAATTTCATTCATCACTGTAGTAACGTATTAAGGTTAACCTTCAGATGCATACTTTTAACTACTAATTTTAGCAGACGTATAAAGTGGCTGTAACCTTACAAAAAATCCTTTCAGAATGAAAGTAGATCCTACTAGATATGAAGTGAAAAACTCCTATCTCATCAAACAAATAACTAGTAAAGTGTCACTTTGAAAATAACTAGATGATTTTTCAACTGAGGGGGATATTAAAGCGGGGATCGGGAAAACAAGGCAATCTTTCAGTACTCTCAAGTCAGTGGCACTGCTCAGCATGAAATTTGAGATCCGGATTCTCAGCTCCAATGTGAAATCAGTGCTACTTGCGCCATACGGATCAGAGACTTGCACTGCACGTCACGAAAGGCACTCCAAACAAACTGAAGATCTTCATCAGTACTACTCAAGATCAGAGAGCCAGAGAAGATTAGCAGTAGTGAGGGATCTCTGACAGTGAACGAACCAACCCAACAGGAGCTGATTGTGCAACAAAAATGCAGGAAGAAGTGGAGGTGGATTCGATTTTGGCCATACTCTGAGAAAACAATCCATCAAGTGAGTAGTGACATCATACGCCAGGCCATCACTCGAGTGAAACCGGAATGGGAAGCGGCGAGTTGGTCATCAGTGTGAAGTGATGCGAAGAGGAGATGAAGGTATGTGAACAGATGTGCAGCCAGGTGAAGAACCGAACGCAATGGAGGCGTTCGGCTGAAGCTCTACGTTCCTCTAGGAGCTAAAGGAGACAATAATAATAAAATTTTCAAGTATTGGTTTTTGTAGGGATTTTGTTTGATTGCATGGAGGATTTAATCATGAGCTGACATCAGTTAGAGAACCACTGGAAAACCTGGGAGTACTGCACAGCCGTTTCGCCCTAGTTTGGGACTCCTCAAGGACCATTGGATCGGGTCCCAGTGGCTCAATGGTCTACGAGCTCGCCTTGTAACCAGAAGGTCCTGGGTTCGAATCCCGGTGGGTGCGTACTGATGAGGAGTCCCAAACTAGGACGAAACGGCTGTCCAGTACTCCCAGGTTTTCCAGTGGTTCTCTAACTAATGTCAGCTCATGATTAAATCCTCCATGCAATAATAATAAAAACCAGAGTCGTTAATGTGAGTGTTTCAGACTGTTCTCCTGGTAATTATACTAACTTGGCAATTGGTCACTGGTATAATATTTTGAATAGATTATAATTTGACCAAGTTTTTCGGTACAGCAAACTCAGTAATCTCAAAACACTTGCCATTCAGAACTGAAAGGTAACTACTGAATCTAGGTAAGTCAAAGAACACTTAACAGCCGTTGAACGTCATCTAAACTCCTGATGAGATTATCCACACAAACCTTTAAAGCTTTACTCTTATTTTCCAGATCATTTAATGTAGAAGCATCAAGGAATATTGCTAGTTGACAGCTGATATAAATGTAAAAGTAAATGCCCATGAAACATTCGCACTGGTGAATATAGTGCTTACCGCTCATTAATGGTTCTCGGAGTCCGTGATTTTATTCCAAATTACTTCGTGGGAATGTTTTATCTGCTGACGCATACCATTACTAATCCAGCATTATTACTGTAACCAGTGCCGTGCCTTAGCCTCCAAATAACATCACCCTGAATCTAGTAGTTACAATAATTGACAAAACACTTTATACTTTAACAGAATCGAGCATCTGCACGACCCCATCTGGACAATTTGTAGCAGAGTCAATATACCGAGAGCTTCCGTTTTGAGATAAAAACAACAGCATAGTTCAGATTTCACTGATGAAGTGAACTATGTTTGCAGTTTAATGTTTATTGACAACAAGTTTTATTACAACTTCCTGAATTTCTTTCTCGTATTCTCAGACTGGTAGTTAAAAAGCTCTCATATAAATCCAGTTTTCATTTTGTATTTTTTTATTTTCTGCATCATAAAATAATAAAATGTGAAGAATTTATATTTATGACATTTCGTCCACTCTGTGTCTTGACTTATTTAAAATAGCAATAAATTTCCAAACTCTACAATTTTCAAGCTTGTTGCTTCAAACCATTTTTAACTTGAGTAGTAACACTGCGCAGGTGTGTCTATTGACTGTGTTAATAAAATGTCCAAACTTCAGCCGCTATCCTGAATATACATCCTAATGCGTATGATACGCGTTTGTAGTGTTATATATCCTTATATGAGCTCATCAAATCAAATGCAGACAGGTTTGCTTGAAAACGCTGAAGTATAAATCGACTTGATAACTGTTTAGGATACTTAACATAAATGCTATGGAGGTTATATTACGGCTATACTCTGTTCAGCGTTGATATGTAATGAAAACACAAAATTTGAAAAAGAGAATAAACACTACTGAAATCCAGTCAAAGTACCCAATACAGTGCAACAGGAGGGCAGTCACGAGGCTGAATAGCTCAGTGATAACGTCTCTAACTCACTGCAGCAATGGGTGATGCGGGTTCGAATATCAGAAGGCACATGAGTTCCTTCAAGGTTTCAGATACGCCTTGCTGACTGCTGAGTGCCAACTAGCAAGAAACCAAGGTGCAAGGCTTTCTGCTGATTGCCTCCAACCATCCGACTAACAACACTTCTGAATGAACTGTGATAGAGAGCCAATTAGAGTGGTGGTCACATTAAAAACAGACTGACTTATGGAACTCAGTCTGCAACAAACAATTAGCTAGATGCATGACACTAATTAGTGTCCAATCCGAGCGCATCTTATTTCATAGATTTTGTACGAAACGCAGTAACCAGGATTTTCTTTGCAAATTGATTATTTTGAAAGTCTGACTAGTTTCCGTGGCATGTCTTGTGTCATACGTCTGGCAACTTCTTTTGAGAACACTTTGCTGCTTTTCGTGCTGAAAGTTTTGGTATAATGCTCAGGATCAGAGATGAAAGACCTTTAAGGGCTATTAATACGTAATGTTCTCACCATACTGGTAGTTAATGTCAATGAATTTACAGTGCTAATTTTTTACAAGTAATTATTACTACTGCTCGTAAATCAGACTATACTGAATAAAGCTCTTTTCTTCTCAGTCACCTCATACACCAGTATCAGGTATAAAAAAGGATTTAGTTAGACTGACCTGCTAAATGCCTAGAAAAGGTGTGCTCACTGAAGCTGGTGTCCCTCAAGGTGCTGTACTCTCCCCACTCCTCTTTTCTTTATTTTTACATGAACTACCATCTTCAAATGGCATCAATTTTGTCAAGTATGCTGACGACCTAACAGTATTCATGTCTGCCAAGTGTCAAAGTGACTGCTCCAAACTAAATGGCTTTTTATCAGAAGTCAGCCAATGGTCCAAGGAAAACAATCTTACCTTAAATCCCTCTTAATGCCAAACAGTCAATTTCACCTTAAGGTATAAATCTGACCTAAACAAACTGGTTAGCACTCATCAGGTGTGCAATATAGATTGCACTGAGATAGAAACCACGTCGGAAATTAAATACCTAGGCGTCATTCTATCTGCTGATCTTCTCTGGTCGTCTCATATCTTGATGATTTCTAAGAAAATATTCCGTCTTACCTTCTACATCAAGAAGATAAGACATTCTGAAATAACCCAAACCTTACTACTACAATTCGTTAGCTCTTGCATTCTGCCTATTATTTTATATTGTTCCCCCTTAGTTTTTCCAGAGCTACTGAAGAAAGATTGTACCTTATTACCCAGGATGTTAAAGGTTTTCAGCAGGGTAAGCAACGTGCCACTTAACCAGCTTGTTAATATTCTGGTTGACAGGCACTTGGACTCGTGTGCAAAATGGGCTAAATCTACTTCATCTAACTCACACCACCCTCTTCATTGACAACTTTTCCCTTGTATCTCATCAGGTGGGACCAGAAGCCTATATAGAAAACTATATGCTCGTAATAGCAAGTACAAAAACTAAACCATACCCTAGTTGGATCGTGTTCTGTGCGATAATGAAAGCATTAGGCGTGATACCTATAACTCATTAAAATAGCAAGTAGAACAACTGGATCTCGTCTTTCCAACTCATATCATTTATAGGTACAACGTTTTCTTTCTTTCCTTTTCTCTCTCTCTTGTTATTTGTCGTTTTGTTTCTCTCTTCCTTATAAACTCTATATAAAACATTCTTCTTCGTTCTTTCACACTCTGTATATCTTGACCTTTTTGTTACCGCTTACGCCAATAAATATGCTAGCATCTACTTTTCTAACATCTTCAAACACTCTGTTCAATTCTGGCTTTGCTACCGACATACCAATATGTTGTTGTCATAATGAACTGAGATTTCCCTAATCTATGTAGAATTTTACTTATTGTTAATGTACAAACTGGATGCAATACTGTAGTGAAATGGTGAGAATTTCATTCTGTATCTCAAGTACTGTTTTGGAATAAAGCAAATTATTATTAGTAAGTGTTTGAAATAGTTAAACAAAACGAATACAGGGAGGATACTGGGTATAAAATGGTAAATTCGCCAGTTTCGAATACTAAGAAAACTGTGTTATGCAATACGTTATTTAGGACGAGATGCAACATCGATGTGTCCATATTAGTAGAGAACGATTTAGGTATAAAGGGCCATATAGTATTCGTTGCAAAGTCTTTTACCACTGCAGTGATTTTATGTGCTGTTCAAAGTGTTCACTACTAATGTCTTAAAGATAATGCATACCCGCAACCCTGAAGGAACTCATGTCAATTCCGAGACTGGAACCTACACCATCCAGTACTGCAGTCAGAGACGCCACCAATGAGATATTACGGCTGGCAATTGGCCTCCTGTACGACTGTATTGGATATTTTTTCAATGGACACTAGCCAGTGTAATGCGTCTAGTCTTCTCCTGAGTGCCTTGGCTTCCTGTGGCCGATTGCCTCCAACCATCTAATAACAACAATTCACAGTGCGCCGTGATGGTGAGCCACCTAGCATGGTGGTCACATTGCAACCTTGACTGATAGAATTCAGTCTGCAGTGAAGATAGGACTAGACACATTACACTAGTTACTGACCAGTGTGCAATCGAAAATAATTAATGCATACGAGATTAGTAGATGTACAATGAAACTGATGAAGTATTTAGGTGATTTCTAATAGTTTACCTTGTTTCATCCGAAAAGTATTGTAGATAGTCACGTGGCACCCAGCTTTCGTAGATTTGTTTCCACAATAAACGTAGCTCTTCAGTATGAAAATGGCTAGCATCGTTTAGAAGAGATTTTATATCGATTAATTCATTATCATTATAATAATTAAATTTAGTTCTCTCCAGTAACTGTTTTTGCCAAAATAAACGTTCTTCGTTAATTGAACGATTCCATAACTCCATGAATTTTTGCCATGTAGTAGATGAAAACATTGAATCGTTAGTTATTTTAGGTAATGTTTGATGTGATGTGGATTCAAGGAACTCAAAGGAATTTTTAAATGAACTGTAAGGAATAAAGTATATTTGAAAAACGTATAACCAGTGCAAGTATAGAGAACTTTAATATCTTTGAACAAGCACATAGTTTTTGTTAGTCTATTCCTGGGTTTAGAAAAAGGATCTGTACGACAGAACTATGTGAAAGTGATCAAAATTTGGCAACCAAAGATTAAACTCGATGTATACAGACTTCGGGTAGCGTTATTAGAAGACAGAGATTATCTGAAAAACCATGTGATGTATTTGCGCTATACATTTCGAACAATCTGATCCCTCACACATTTACTTGTCAAGTCCACGTATATTTGAAAAAGTTAAATTAAACAAAGTGACAAAAAAGGATTTAAGAATGATTAAATCAACGTTTGGTAATCCAACCAAATAAGAATTACCAAGGTAGATTAAGAGTAATAATAATCTGTTTTTGAACACACAGGGGAGGATGGGGGCTTAAGTTTATGAATAGCCGTAGCCTCAGCGTATTTAAGTAAGCGCCACTGACTACTTTAATAGATAACCTTATAGGCTGTGTTAACATCAATCTTATGGTTCATCTCGATTAGATGTTTAGCTATAGGTGAGGTTGGTAGTCTGATACCTGTGTCTAGTGATTTTACACAATTCATTTGTTTTTCTAACCATTTCGGGATATGCTTGCTGTTCCACTCTCACATGCAAAGCGCGATTACTCCTCCATGAATATGAGCGACCACACACACACACATACACGAAAAATGGTAAATAGTGTGGGATGTGATATAATCACTTGTGCACTTTTGAGGTTTGCAGTGGGGCATATTTTCAGCTTTTTCGAAAATTACAAGTTGGGCTGCATAATAAGTTCTACGGATGATTGAATTCAACCTTTTTCTCAAAATCCTACTGTTTATTTCCCCGTTATGCGGTAATTTGATGAAAACATTTTTCTTAGGGGCTGTATAGATTGTAGGTTTAGAGACCCATTGACTTCTACACCTGTTTAAAAATGTCAAAGGATATCCATTTTCACCAAGAGTATGCATCAATATTTCTTTTTCTTTGTCTATAACATCAGCCGTACAAATACGTTGAATCGTCTTGAGTGGACACTTCATCAAGCCTCTCTTATTCTGTAATGGACAGAAAATGTGAAAATTAGGTACTGCTCCGTCGAAGTGGGCTTTCTGTAGATAGACCGTCTTATTGAGCCATCATCTCTTCTACTCAGAAGTATGCCTAAAAATGCTAACTGATTGCGACTTTCTTCCTCGCATGTAAGACTAATATGATTCTGTACAGAGTTAAGTCTGTCTAATAGACGACTCGCATCTTCATGATCGTCGCATATCAAAATGATATCATATACATATCTCCTATAGAAGGGCAATTTATAAATTAAATCAAGGGACAAGATCTTGACATAAGACAAGTAAATGTGTGAGGGATCAGACTGTTCGAAATGTATAGCGCAAATACATCACATGGTTTTTCAGATAATCTCCGTCTTCTAATAACGCTAAACAAATTAATACACACTTCATTATTTTATGACTAGCTCAAACATATACAGACAGAAGTTAGTAGCTTACCTAAGTTAAGATTTCTGGTGAGTTCATGCTTGCATTCTACCGACCTGTCCGAAAAGAAGGCGAAGCACCTGTCTAGCAGTCCCTGTTTTCCACTGGTGGTTCTCTGACTAAAGTCAGTTCATGACCAAACTTGAAATTCGCCGCAATTCCGCATAAGTCTTTAGGCATAATTGAAGTGGCAGTCTGTAAATGATATGTTGTCATCATTCACTGTATTTTACAGATGTAGAAATGACTTTTCCTCATTAAAGCAGTTGTGGAAATCTTCCAGTCGGCATAATAATTTGCATAATCAGAAAACTAGCTGTACAAGCTTAAATTCGTATGAAGTGTCTTCTGGTTTTCCCGGAAGATATACAAGGAGAAAGTTGCAAAATCACAAAGAGTATGTTCAGTTTCAGACAAGATAATTTTAGCCAAATGCTTGCAAGAATTGAAGTGTCAACTGACAATAATGTCGATTAGCTGAGTCAAAGGCGTACACCACTAATCCAGCTTACAGTCTTCAGTGTTCTGCGCAAAATGTCCAGGTACGAATAGTAGCGAACAATAAAGGAGAATAGGCAGAATGCATGAATTATCGAATTGTGAGAGAAGAGATTAGATTATGCTGGTAGAAAGTCTCAACTTCTTTATATAACAAGTAAGTCAAACAAAAATCTTCTTAGAAATCAACAGGATATGAGACGACCAGCAGAGGAGATTCGAAGGCAAACTGATATCGAGATGAGAGATATTCGATTTACTCCCTATCGTCACACTGACGTCACTTTTACTCGAATCATGAGACTAAATCAGTCCACGCGAGTCTTGTTCACATCTGAAACTAAAATCAACAATATGACATTCAGATGGATTTAGTTTAAGACCATATAGGTCAAGCCGTTTGTTTACCTCAGACAATAATCTATTCATATAAGAACAATCCCAAAAAGAAACTAGTCGGATAGAAATGGTTAGCTTTGCAAAGACATGGAAGGTCATGTGAAAAGAAAAAAGGAATGGAGACAGCACAGCGTCTTGAGGCAAGTCCTATCCAGTGAATTGATCCTTTGAAGTATATACGCATACATTTAAGTTTAGTACTCAGAATATGAAAGCCTTTACTAGAATACACTAGCAGAAATCCCTGAACATTGAACTTACTTAACGCTAAGATCCCAACTTGGTAATGAGTGATACTTTTAAGAGTTTCCGATGAGAACAAAACATTAACAGCTCTTTTTTAGATTGAGTTTAAGCTGATTGAAAGTCACACGATCTGTAGCCGACTACCGACTAATTGTTAACGTCCAACCTTAATTCATAACCCTTTTTAGTTTGAAACTTAACACAAATTTAAAAGGTTATCGGTATTTTGAAACACACGATTTAGAAAATGAAACGATATTTTTATGTTTCTAGTAGTTGGAAGCCTAGTATTCTTGAGATGTTGTTTCAGGTGTTTCAGGCATGTACGATGTGTTTTTGATTTGGTTGTGTTCTCTGAGCTGGACAGTTAATTTACGAAGCTTTCATCGCTCCCTACTAGGCAACATCTATTCAATTTGAAGTGAGATTTTAGATTTCTCCACAAGTAGCTTATTAATCATCTCTCCTGGTGAACTTGGGCGTGATTAGTTGTATTTGTGTGTTTTCACAACCTACAGGCTACTTGTATTAGAACTGGTTGTTTCTTCGACTTGAACTTTGACCCTATGTGTGCTGGATTTCCTTCTTATCGGTTGGTAAATTTTGTCTATCTCGATGTGTCTATTGATTGGTGATTCACTGAAATACCAGGCAGCCTTCTAATAATTCTTTAGCATACTTGGTGTTTCCTCTGTCTAATAGTTGAACACTGGTTGTCCCAGTTAAACCAATGTCCGTGGTTGTTTTTTATGCAATGAGACGATATGAGGGAATGGATTTCAATTCTTTTGATGGCTAGCTTACGATTATGGAAACGAAGATGAAGAGCAGGGACGTCCACTTTGGCCAATGTAGTGTTTTTTTCGTAGTTGTTGCAATTTATTTTGTAGACGATGTTGGTCTTATCTTCTTTCGTTGTTGAGTCGTTTGGTTGACATAGAGTCAGCCAGCTAAGTGAAGTGATTTTGTTGGTTTGTGTGAGACGTCAATTCCTAAAGGTTTGAAGAGTATTTGATATTCCAATAAATCATCAATCAATAGACACATCAAGATAGACAAAATTTATCAACCGATAAGTAGGAAATCTCACACACAAAGGGGCGATTTTCAAGTCAAAGAAACAATCAGTACCAATACAAGTGGCCCAGAGGGTGTGAAAACACACAAAAAACAACCAATCACGTCCAAGGTTACCAGAAGAGATAATTAATAATCTACTCGTGGAGAAATCTGAAAGCTCACTTCAAATTGAAGTATATGCTGAAGATGTTACTTAATAGGGGGCGATGAAAGCTTTGCAAATTAACTCGCCAGTTCAGATAACATAACCACATCAAAGTCATCCATCCTGAGCTACAAATCTTCTCTATCATATCTATGTCTGATTTGTTTCTGAAAGTAATCGCTTGTGTCTGTTTGAAAAAAAGTTGTGTTTTCGTTATAAAACGTTTTTAAAAATGTATAGACTAGTTGTTGCTTGCAGCAAACACTTACTATAATTCATCCGTTAATGTAGACAGACTATCGGATTCGCAAGCAGAATCTCTATGAATTGATGTGGATTCGCAGAGTCCTTTCTGATTTTCCAAGAGGTCCATCATCAGTGGGTAATCTGTCATATTGAATGATGTAATATTTTCAATGGCATCATTGCTCTGTGCACCAACATTGTTGTTTAACTTATTGGGTTCATTGCTTATGAGTTGGTTCAGCTGAAAACTCAGTGAGGGATAAAAATATTAACGACTTTGTATAATATATAATAAGGGGTACCTTACCATTGCTTGTTCTGTTTATGAAACAAATAAAACAAGATATAGTCCGTCTTCATTAATAAAAGAAAATTAAAATACACAACTAGTCAGTCGTACTGCATTAAAACAGTCACTTTTAGTAGTAGTCGAATAGTAGACTTCGTAGACACAGTGTACTACTATATTATTATTCCCCTGAGTTCCAGTGAAACATAGGCCTTCAACAACACATCTTCACTTTGTTCTATTTTCTGTTGTCCTCTTCAGTTGGATCCACCAAAATCTCTCATCTCCTCTTCGCCACACGATCTCTTCTATGTCAGTCTCATACCGACCAATGCCTAACTCGTCGCTTCCCATTGGCACTCCACTGGAACAATGGCCTGCATTGCGCGTGGTGTTATTTAACTGCCCCTCAAAACATGTCCGACGAATCCATCTCTATTTTACCCTACATATTTGATGAGCAGTCAGATCTTGGTTGGTTTGTTCCCAGCCAGCCAGCCGGCCAGTAGGAGTTTCTTGCTGCCAATTTGTTCCAGCTGGCCAACCGGCTGGTAATTTGATCTTCAGTATGGGGCCAGCAAACATGGGGGGGAGTTGTTGATAAACGTCTGCAACTGGCTGTTAAAAATCCTTCTCGTGACAGGCTATCTGAGTTCTGACCCGTATAGACAAACTGACTGAATGATTTCACATTTGTGTTGAAAATCTAAAGAAATCTTCTTCTGTATGCTAAGGTGAAGTGCAGAAGATATCGAAACTGGTTTCATGTTGATGTAAGTAGGCCTACCTTCCTTTCGGATTCTGGCCGTCTTTTACATCTTCATCCGTTCGAAATTCCTGCAGTTAAAACGCTGCTTTCTAGTCAGATAAGTGAAGGTAATAACCTCTGTTAAATCTCCTCCATTGATGTTAACTGGTGAAGGTTGTAGTTACTGTTGCTGTTGGGTGGTTATCTGCAACACCCCTGTCCTCTCTATGTTCACCTGCAGTTCTGTCTTAACTGCCAGCCAGCCTCTTCTGTCAGTTCGTCGGTTTTCGTCTGAAAGCCTTCCAGTTTGTGTGACATTAAACATATATCATCCATCCACACGCGAAATCCACATCTTCTAGACAGTGTCTTCTCCTCGGTCAGTGAAGCGTATTCCTGTCTTCTCACTTCCAACACACAATCTCACGCATAATCCAGTCAGCCCACCACAATTAAGAATATCATCGAGGGTGATAATAGGCAAGCAGCCTTGTCTTACTTCTGTATTCGCCGAGAAGCCTTCACTGAGTTTTCCGTTATCGACCACCTGACACGTGACATCGTAATTGAGCCAGCTTTGTTGAATGTGGTTCATAAAGACTTAGATACTCCACGCCGTAGTGTTGGATCAGTTTCCAAATTACATCTCGGTATGGTCAGTGCTGCCAAAGGCCTTTTCAAAGTCGACGGAGATAATGTTGAGTTTTGACTGCCGTTCTATGCTTTCTTCTGTGATTGTGATGCTGACGATGGTAATGCATAGAGTTGCAATTTGGTCAGAACATGATTTGCCACTCCTGAATCCAGCTGGCTTCTGGCTGGTGGAGTTCTGAATTCAGTGCATCATTTTCTTTCTCTCCAGGATGACGTGACATAGTATTTTACCTCGCGTGGAGAAGAGCATTATTCCACGCCAGTTCTTGCAGAGTGAGGCGTTAGTTACCATTTTTGGTGGCTTCACAAGGTAGCTAGCCTTTCTTACAATCAGTATGCACCCCGCCTTCCATCCAAACACTTAACAGTTATGGCATGAGCACAACTTCCTCAGTCTCTGGGTCAGTTTCCAGTGCTCCTGTGTGAGGAATTCCATCTGGTCCTGCCGCTCTCCCGGACAACTTTTAGTAGCTCGATCACATTCAGAATTTCTGCTTTCCCTGGAGGATCAGTGTCCACTGGCAGGCAGATGTGTGCGTGTTGTTGTTGATGATGTTGGTGGTGTATTTCTGGGCGAGTGGCAGGTCGTGGTAGAGAGACAAGAGTCCTTTGAAGTGATAAGAACATTGTTTGATTTGTTTCTCCTCCGTGGTAATCAGGTTCCTTTGTGCATCTTTTATTGGTCTCATCATCTGGGTTGATCTGTTCCCTGATAGTGAGCAGCCTGGTTATCTGATGTAATCTCCTGAGGTCTTTTTGACGTGCGACCTCACTACCTGTTCTGCTTCAGTTGCCAATGAGTGTGTCTTCGAATTGTGTTTTTTCTTTCCTAGAATCCTTCCTCACTTCTCTCCTTATTCAGTGCAGTGTACATTAATGTACACAGCAATTGCTGTGAACTTCACTTCTGCTTCTGTTCTCTTGTCCATCTTTGCATTGAGTTGTCCTCTCTTTCACCATCCTCTTCTCCTCTCTTCTGTTAGCTTCCAGGTTAGTATCTGTTAAGAGCTATTCATTGTCTTGTCTCTCCTTTCTTCCTAGAACAGTTGTACAGTTCTCATTGAACGTCACCTTCAAAAAGTTCCAATGTTCTTCCTTTCACACTGGTTTCCTCAGTGATGCCACGTAGTGTCTCCAACTTTGCTCTGATCTTATCTGTAGTGAAGGTAGGTATCTCCTGTAGTTTTGTTCTTCAGTTTCTGAATGTCTAACTTGAATTACAGTGGCCTGTCTCCAGTTGTTCTGCAGAATTTAGCCTCATCCTGAAGGGTTCTTGAGCTAGATGATGATCTGAGCCCACATTTGTATCTCTTCTCGACTTTGTATCCTGCGTGCCGCATCTTCACTTTCTTCAGCAACATTTAAATAAAGTCTACCTGGTTTGTGATGTATCTGTCAGACGAAATCCGTGTCCCCGGCCTTGTGTATATCCTCGTGCTGTAATTTTGGCGTGAGGCTGTCATTCCCACCCCATCGAAATAAAATCACCACAGGGTGTTTAAACGTGATACCTTGCAGCTGTATTTTCAACTCATAAGGTAAAGAAATGAAAAGAAATACTTGTCGGTGTTAACATACATTTATTGTATATAGAAAATATCATTAGTCACGTAAGCCCGATTTCTACTATAAATAGCCGTGCAGAAATTAAAGATTAGAAAAACATTTAAGATGTTTTCAAGAATTTCATTATAAACTATTTTCAAGCATTAGTCTGTCGACATTTGATTGGCTGGTTACAGGATTTCATCATGAGCTGACGTCAGTTAGGGAACAATTTTAAAACCTTCAAATAGTACTGGACAGCTGATTCCGTTATTCTAGTTGGGACTTTTCGGTAGTACGCACCCACCGGGGTTCGAGTCCAGGACATTCTGGTTACAAGTCGAGCTCATAGACCAATAAGTCACTGGGATCCGATCCAGTGGCCCATGAATTCCAACTTCTGCCAATTCACGACATATCAGGATCACTAGCCAATGTCTTCTGCGTGTATTTGTCGTCATCTGCGACCTTAAGTACTCTACTGGTCACGATTTCCCACTAGAACCCCAGGCAACTACCTACCTGAATAAGGACAATCGCTAGTGTGCATCTCATTGTTATTCAGATATTGGTTTGTAGAGATCTGATTGACTGGTTACAGGATTTCATCATGAGCCATGGATCAAGTCCCAGTAGGTTAATGATCTATGAGCTCGCCTTATAACCAGAAAGCCCTGGGTTCCAACCTCCGAGGTGGGTACGTGCTGCTCAGGAGCCCCAAACTAGGACAATGGAAGGAGCTGTCCAATACTCTTGGGTTTTTCAATGGTTCTCTAACTGATGTCAGTTCATAATGCAATCCTGTGACCGATAAACTATGTTATCAAATAAAAATTTACGAAGCTATGAAAAAATACCACTAGAAGAGTTTTCACCACCTTGCCGTTGGGATTTCGCTGACGGTAACAAAAATGCATACTGACCCCTTTACGAAAGCATTTAAAAGTTTTCTAAAGATTTTTTAATTCATAAATTGGAGGATAAACATAATGGGACAAATATTAAATGTTTCGTTTCAGTCTCTCTAAATATACTGTCTTCCAGAGTTAATTGACTTTTACTGCTGACTCATTTTCACTAAATTGTAATGCTGGATTCCGCTTAAAATACATTAACCACATCTTCCAATGTAATAGCTGTAAAAGAGTAAACTCCTTTGTATTTGAAATTGGGCGCTATGATAGAGTATAATTCCATTGTGGAATTCCATTGGTAATATCTTACAGTGGAATACTGTAAAATTTACTGAGGATATTTTGAGAACAATTTAACTTCATATGCTAGTGAGCAATAAATTGTGCTCGAGACCCCATCAGCAAATATTGTTTATTATTATTATTTCCTTTAATTCCTAAACAAACATTAGGCTTCACCTGCACGTCTCTATTGCATTCGATTCTCCACCAACGTTTTCACCTGGCTCCACGTCTCCCCACATACCTTCATCTCCTCTTCACATGACCTCCTCCAAGTCATCCTTGGACGAGCAACTCGCCGCTTCCCGTTCGGGTTCCACTCGAGTGATGGCCTGGCATGTGATGTCACTACTCACTTGATGGTTTGTTTCCTCAGAGTATGACCAGTCCAACCCACCTCTATTTCTGTTTGCATATTTGTTGAGCAGTTGCCTCCTGTTGAGTTGGTTTGATCCCCAAGATCCCACCGTTTTACTGGTCTTTTCTGGTCATCTGGTTTTGAGTAGTATTGAGCGAAGATATCTGTTGATGAAGATCTGTAATTTAGTTGAAGTGCCCTTCGTGACGCGGCACCAAGTCACTGATCCGTCTAGTAGCACTGTCTTCACATATATGACTTTATGATATTGTGAGACTGGTCTACGCTTTTATTGCACTTTTGCTCAGAAACATATTGCTAACTTTTCAATTAAAATATGAAAATTATTTAAGCACCTAATTGAACTGAGAATAAAGGCTTCACAATGGAATTTACATGAAAGTTAGTTACTGCTGTTCCGTCTACTGATGCTGAGATCATGACTGAAAACGTAAAGGATATTCAAGATTTCTGTCAGAAAGCGGTCATTTTTCCAGTCTACTTATAATGACAGAAAAATAAAAGTGACTCAACTGTAGGCAAAACACATAGTAAATGGATTGTTACGCATACAGATTCCTTGCTAATATGAAGTCAAATTGGTCGGCTTACCATTCGATTTAAATTCTCTTGTAAGTGTTGTGCAGTTGGCGATCTATATTGAAGGAACACAAGAATGGCTTTAAGTAACGAAAATAATGAAATGGTTTTGACTGAAACTTAGACTCACATCTGTAGAATATTTTTGGAAACAAAAAACATCGTCACTGAAGTCAGCAGAGTGATTTGAAATTCGCTAATTGGGAACTAATTAGCTGCTCGGAAAGAACACTGTAAGTATTGCGAATCGCCAATTATTATGCGAAAATTGCCAATTGGTTGGAGGTACAGCGGTTAGGATGCTCGCCGAACATGCGCATGGTCCGGGGTTCGATCCCCGGTCGATGCACTCATTTACCTCGCTAAGCCAGAAATAATGCTGGTAAAGCGGAAAGGTTGGGCATGAGGCTAGCAGCCCCATCCTGTAAAAATTAACACTGCTACAAAAACTTCAAGCCTGTAGCTTGAAGTCCTATGTTCCACTGGGGAACGTGAAGAAAAAAACGAACTAGAATTAGTGGGTTTGAAGTGATTTCGTTCTCTGAACTGAGTCGAACTGGTAGCACTGATGATAAGTTTCGTCCCAAAAAACCAAAACAGACATCCAGTGATTAGTTCTGGCTTTGATCATGCTGGCAAGCACTACTGACTGACTCTACTTCCATTATACAACTCGGATCACTCAAAAAGTAGTATATATGAAGTTTACTGCAATTATAACTTCATGGAATACTCTGAGCTTCACTCTGCGATTAACCGCTCGAATGGTTTAAAACCGTTTTTGGCTCCATTAAATAATAGGCCAACTTCGGATGTTATCAGAACACTATTTAACTGCGTTAATTCATTGACTAATGTTGAAATCGTATACATCCTAATTTTGTGTTCATTAGTTTAACCGTATCAACAGTAACCCACGATGTGATATGCGAGACTGTATGTAAATCATTGACATGTCATTTCCATATTCTTGACATTTTCACCAATAGGTCAGGTAAATACTCACAAAGTTCTTCTGGTGTCATATAATTATTATTGGTTAGACGATTTCGAGCTGTACTTGTAAATTGTGCAATACATTATACGCAGATAACTCTTTCTATCCAGATGACACATCACTGTGGTCAGTATTTTTCAAATAATTGTTTCAACGGAATATTTATTATTCGCTGGGATTATGTACGCCGGTGGCACAGCGGTAGAATGCTCGCCGACCACATCTCGTGTGGTCCGGGGTTTGAACTCGGCCACCGGTTCACTCTTTCACCTCTCCAAACCAGTAACAAGACTGGTGAAGAGGGAAGGTTGGGCACGAGGCTAGCAACCCTATTCCGTAGAAATAAACCCCACTGCCACCGAAACTTCAAGTCATTAGCTTGAAGCCCTATGCTTTAGCACTGGGAACGTATTGGAATAAAAATTATGTTAGACACCTATAAAGAGGTTTGGTAGGGATACCAGACGAACAGTCTGTGTCTGTTTATTACAAACGTGAAGGAATAACTAATGCTAAAGTAATCAAGCTATTTATATCAGTGGATACCGTGGGTATTTTTATCTCATATCTCAAACACTTTTTTTTATTCATATATACATTTGCATGCATAAAACATTTTGATGTGCTAATTTCTAGAGTAAACATCATATTGCTCCTCGGGTTTATATATTTATTCATCTTTTTGCTTTGACTATTTGTTATGTAAATATTTACAGGTGTACTTTCTAAACCCAGACTAATATGTTAATCACTGCCGGCTGATAGTAACAATAGGATATATTTTAAGGGTCACTAGATATCTACCACAAATTATTATCATTGTAATGGTGCCTCTCGAAGATATCTCTTTTGTATATATATGTATGTATATATATATATATATTTAGACATAAAGTAGCATGGAATGCTCTGTCTATTTTTTTTTAAAAAGACGCCATTTATTTATTGGCAGCTGATTGCCGCGGTAACACTTACCCTGTAAACTCTGGAGCATATGTGGATAGAAACAAATGCTCAATAGGTGGTGACTGCTTTCCATCTTTAAAGGATTTATGCTTGCTTGTAATTTGAGTGCCAACAGTTTGTGTTCTACTATGCATATGTGTTGTTGCTTTTTTTGGTAAACTCCCTTTCAGGTAGAAGAAAAAGAAAGAAAGAAAAATTACGTCAAAATGTCTACAGAACACAGACACAAAAAGGAGAATAAAATGAACTAGAGATTGAATGATTTATGCATCGGTAGTTTTAAAGCTGATAAAGTTCAGTAAATTTCAGTTGCCAATCTGTTTCTTCCATAAATTTTATTCGGAATACTGGATTCTCAACAAGAAATAGACCTCAGAGAATTCATTATATAATATATTACATTATAACGGCTATAAGCTGTCTTATGAGAATGCATTCTGCGTGATAATTTATGAAGAATTTGACAATGTAGAATAATTCGAACCGTATTATATAAACCAACTACCAATGATTTTCCTCCATATTTTTCAATGGTATGAAAGACCAGTGCCTAGCCTTGAATGTTATGGAAATAAAGATTAGCGTCAAGTATATACCAAGACAGTTATATAATATAGCGAAAATATTCCTTCAAACATCAATAAAATAAAACATTTTTGAGCAAAGAATATCCTTTTCGATAAATTCTTCTTCTGGTTCTACAATTATATACATGCATGTTTATATACGGTGGCATAGCGGTTAGGACGCTCGCTGAACATGCACATGGTCCGGGGTTCGATCCCCTGTCGATGCACTCATTTACCTCGCTAAGCCAGAAATAATGCTGGTAAAGCGCAAAGGTTGGGCATGAGGCTAGCAACCCCATCCTGTAAAAATAAAACTCTGCTACAGAGACTTCAAGCCAGTAGCTGTAAGCCCTACGTTCCACTGGGGAACGTGAAGGAAAGAAAAAAATGTTTATATACGCAGAATATTCGAGATTAGTAATCAATAACAATATTAGTGTTTTTCAATTATTACCAATTTACTAAGTAAGATAGTAGTGGAATTACAGTTTATTAAGGATGCTTAAATCATAAGGATAACAAAGATATAGCAGCGAATAGAAAATCAACTAAAATTAGGAAAATTCCACAAAAATTGAGGATCATTTAAACCTGGATGGCCAAGGTAGGTATAATATCTAAACCAACCAACTTCTTTTGGAAGCACAAATTAGGCTTCTTAACATGGATCCCAGTGGCCTTATGGTATACGAGCTTGCATTGCCCTGAGTTCGAACCCTGGTGGGTGCGTACTGCTGAAGATTCCCATTCTAGGCCGAAACAGATGTCCAGTACTCTCCGTCGGTTTTCCATTGGTTCTCTAACCACTGTCAGCTCGTGATGTAATCCTGTATTCTAGATTTTCATATGAACTGTGGTCAAGACTTGACAGAATACTTCTTAAAAAATTGGGCAGCGAGAGAGAAGTAGGCATTAGTAAAATTATTTTTCATATAAACAAAGCTCTGTTCTTTTACTTCCAATTAATTTGACCGGAGAAGTTCAGACTAGTTTGCGGAATTACTCATTTCAATCCCGCTGAGATTGCACAAATATAATTTCTACAAATGTCTGCGATCTAGATTTTGCTAGGGTTTTATACTCCGCTAGTCTGACTGAACATGTTTTACTACTTTGGCCTATGTATTTGATCTGACAATCATTCCAGCAGGGTATCAGATGAACTAAATTGTTTCGTTTTATTGGCTCCACAAGATCCTTTCACCGACGAAGCTTATTTCTTATTGAATTTGTGGGTTTGAATGCCAGCCAATTTTATTCTGCATAAGGTTTCCGAGGTTCCTTCCTTGTACGAAGGAAGTACTACTGATAGTTTATATTCCTTATTGTTGGTGTTGTCATTATCCTATGCATGTTTGACATGCATTCCGTCATTAATATTACTACTGTTATTATTATTATGACTATCACTACTATTGTTGTTTGTTTTATTTTTATATTTCCTTACATACCTTTTGACTAATTCATCAGGGATATTATTAAGTTTCAAAGCTTCCCTTACATGCCTCACTTCCTGTCTTAGATTTACCTACGTACCACTTAGTTTCTGTGCTATATTACTTAGACAGTTCACCAACCCTATTTTCACTGACATAGGATGGAATGATGGGAAGTTCAAATATCGGTGTGAATGTGTGGGTATGAATGTGGGTTTCCTATAAACATTAATGTTTAACTCCTTATCTTCTTTTCCTTCTACACGCTACAATCTAACACTGAAAGCTACTCTTCTCGACTTTCCAATTCATGAGTGAATTGAATCGCCTACAACTTTGACTTTATGTGTTCGAAAAATCTATTTACATCCTATGTTCTAATATGGAATTACATTTTACCACAGTGCCCAAATTTTACACATTTATGAAACAACTTTTATTCTTTTCCAGTAAAATTTTGGATATTCTCCATTATTTATGCAGCTTTTGAGAATATCAGAATTAGCATTCTCTTCTTTTGTTGATTTACTTCAACTAATGACCAGCGTTGTCACAACTTCAATCTCGAAAAACTTTTGTGCCTCGGAGTAAGTTTACCCCAGGATAATATATATTCAAGGTGCACTAAATGTCATAAATAATATTTTTATCAGTTGGCCATATATATTTCACATATCAATTGCATAAAACTCAATAACTATGACACTGTTTCTGGACGATTAAAATGTAGTCCTATTTACTCAGTGTTAAATTACTATTCTTTTCCACCGTCTTATTTTTAAAACTTAGAAAAAGCTAGCTAGCTAGTATTTGCTATTGTCGCGAAATCAAAAAGTGACTGACTCATCATATGTGAGCTGTAGGATTAACTCAAAAAACTAATCTAGATAAAAGTATACAGATTTTATCAGTCACGTTTTTCAACTTAAGCATAAGAGTGTACTTAATTGTGTCTCTAAACAAGAAAAAATTAATTTTTTTTAATGCCATTTATTCTCTGTTTGCTTTACACTAACTAAATTTACACTCCAACTAGGTTGTGGAGAAATTGCTAATTGAATTAAGGCAGGAGTTTTAAAATTGGTGAATCCAACAGAAATTAAAGTGTATGGGGTAAGAAAAAAAAAAGGCGTGTACACCAGCAACTACTCCTCTTGCCTTTTCATCACTTAACACAATTATTATATGAAAAGGTGACTATAGTTCACATGGAAAACTAATTACTTGAAAAGCAGAGTTTATCAATCCTAACTGGACAAAGTTTTCAGTATTTCTAATGAGTGAGTGTCGGGTAATATTTTTATCAAGGTTTTCAGGGTGCTAAGTGACCATATTTGGAAATATTATGAGCGATCATAAGTAAAAATGAGATGACCATTTTCACTATCTCTGAAGCTAAGTAGCTGCAAAACTGAAAAATGTGATTAGTTCTAGTTATATGCGAAAACGAAGTAGCTTATCGTTGAGCTTAATTAGATCATGAACTACAGTTCATATCGATTACTTAACGCTTAAACTGAAGTCGAGTGACTGACAGTTAAAGATAATGGGCACAAGTTTTGTTTTAATGGAAACGAGTTGGATAGGTCTTGATGAATCAATCAAATAAACTTTGATTAATGCCCATCAGTTATAATTTATCAAGAAATGTTGATGATAGGAAGACAAGTTTAATATTTGGCTGACCTAGATATTGCGAATCCATTTGCTAATACGCTTAAGTCAGTTCCATGCAGAATTCATCGTGAGAAGTGCTTTGAAGCTTTGGCATTGCTCACACTAATTATCTACTTAGAATTTAATTGGTGGATGGTGACTAGAAGTGGAATCCAGGATAACGCGCATTTCGTCCTAGTTGGCACTCGTCATCTGGATGTACCTGCATTACCAAGTAAATGACGATGTTCCTACAGAGGCTCGAACCCGGTGCTTATAGTTTCAAACGTCAAAGCGTTATCCACTGACCATTTGAGCCACAAGAGCCACCTGTTGTGCAGTGGGTCATATTAGTTATTTAATGGAATTTTATTTTTTCCCGTCGATTGATCTGACTTAAGTGGTCGGTCTCAGGTTGACATGTCGGCTTCTTGTGCAGATGCTTCGACGATGTTTGGGAAAGTAATTAGAATTTAATTGGTGACTAGCAGTGAGTGAGTGGTCCAAGCGGTCTAGTGGATAACGCTTTGGCGTTCGAAACTATGGGTACTGGGATCGAGTCTTGGTGGGAACATCATCACTCGCTGGGTAATGCAGGTAAATCCAGTTGACGTGTCCTAAATAGGAAGAAATGCGCAACTTGGATTCCACTGCTAGTCAGCATCCACCAGTTAAATTCTAATTAAATGCTCAGACATCATCGAAGCTTCTGCACAAGAAACCGACATGTCAACCTGAGACCGAGTACTTCGGTCCAATCAATCGACAGAAAAATCTAAAAATTCAGTTAAAATTATCTACTCTCGAATAGTGTCGATGGAGTTTCTTGTAAACGACGTTTCAGTGGCTTAATCCCGCATTTCTGCATGATGTCAACTATCTTAAATTAGGTTATGGTGATACGTATCACCTTATTTCTTTATTATTATTCCCTTAGATTTCTAATGGAACACAGAGTTTCAGTAAAATATCTCCTTTTCACCCTGTCCACTGAATTCCTTTTTAGCTGCCTTCATGACTCATCCCTTAGTCATGTGGTCTCTTCATATGTCATTTTGGTTGTGCGCGTAATATCAATCAATGATCTCCCCGGAAATATCCAGCTTATCTACACTTCCTTCTACATGATTGTTGTGCAACTGCTACTTGGTTGATTCATTACAAGAATTCCTGGCCATCTAACCTCCAAAATCAAATATAAGAAGCTGTTGTTGCCTGTCAGCAGCCTGTTGATAGAAACGCTTTTAGCTGACTCATAAACCGACTCTATGAAGCCTAAATAAGTAGTGGCTTACTTGCCATTAATGTTGAATATCGGAACCTTATTCTTACTGTTGGAAGCAGGAGATTTTTCTACTAACTTTAGATTAACGACAATTTGTCTTGCCTTTCCGATTCTGGTTTTGACATCCTTATCTTCACCGAATTTACTTGCAGTGATACTGCCTGCATAAGTTAAAGAGATGAACTCCATTCAACTACTCCTGTTAATGGTTAGATGTCTTCATCATCTCTGTCTTCTGTATATTCACTTAGAGCTTTCTCTTCGCTTCCTTTCCTGCCATCTTTTTGTTTTCATGACATTAGACATAAATCATCAGAAACTTTTGTGAGTTCAGTAGTCTTCTAGCCTCTCAAGGTCTTCTGGTTCAGTCCACCATAATCAGCAATATCACCCCTGAAAGTAGGCAGCCTTATCTCATTCCTCCATTCACTTCAAAGGATCCGGTAAGTTCCTGCTTTGAATCACTTGGCATAAGTCATCATCACTTAACTGCTGAGTGAAGTTTCTTAGGATTTGATGCACTACTCAGTGTTGAAGCAGTTCCGAATTACTCCACAGTCAGTGCTACCGAAAACCATTTCAAAATCAATGAAGTTGCAGTCGAAAGTTAACAGCAGGTTGAAGATGAGGCAGTAACTCACTCATCGAAGAAGACATTGCGAAATGGTCGCGCTATGTCGTGAATTGGCAGAAATTATAACTCATGGATTGGCCATTGGATCGGGTGGGTCCCAGTGGTCCAATGGTCTACGAGCTTACTAGCCTTGTAACCGGAAAGTCCTGGAGTCGAACCCTGACGGAGGGTGGTTACTGCTGAAGAGCTGATCCTAAACCGGGATAACAAGAACAGCTCTCCAGTACTCCCTGCAGGTTTTCCAGTAGTTCTCTAACTGATATCAGCTCATGATGAAGCCCTCCAACCAATCAAACACAATCCCTACAAAACCAATACTTCAAAGTTCTGTTTACTCATTATACATATGCATAAAGTTGATAAATTATTATAAATTTTAAAAGTTTGTCAAGTATTTTTATTTTACTCAGTAGTATCTTCTGTTAATTTTCATCTAAATAAACTGTTTTTAACCTGAAACACGTGAAATGGTCAGTAAAATCAATTACTTAGCTGACTGAGCTTTATAGTTTAAATTAAATATTCTACCAAAGTTTATCTAAAAGGCATTCTTTGTATCAGTGAAATACATACAGACAACTGCCTCAGATCTACATAGAACTCACTCTTCAGTCATCATGTGGTTTAATCATTGCTGCTTTGAAAGAATTCATTTAAACATTTAGGCGTAATTACACTTTTTACTGACGAAAATTAATATAATTTTAACGACGATATGCTGACAGACGCTATATAAATAATTAATAATGACCAGTCTCAACTCTACTAGATTGCAAGTGCTGTCATGGTGACCATAGGCTATGTTAGAACTTTAATTTTCTGGAGGAAAACATCACAACAGTGACTGCTACTCATAGTGTAATCTGTATTTATTGACTGTCAAAATAATAATAATCGACTCCTTGTGGTTTTTAAAATTTGCGCTTTCTTCTCGACCAAGCGTGTTTCCTCCTTAACACTTTCAAAAGTGTTTAAAGAAGTGTTTATAACACTTTTACAAGGAAATAAAACTGTCACTAGCTGATTTTATTTCAAAAGAATGGATTTCCACAGTTCATAGAAAATTATCAGGGTTAAGATGTAGCATTTTGCTATAAACAACCTGAAAACAACTACAGTCAAACAGTAGACATGAATCATTGTCGCTTAACAAAATTCATGTAGTCATGAGACACTGAAGTCGTCTAGTGGTTTCATGTGGCGTACTTAACCTTTCAAATATTATTTTCTGAAATATTTCAAAAAGGTAGTTAATTGTGTTCTGGACTGAAGCTTTTCAACGCTTCTATGAAAATTTACCTTAGCAAACCTCAGAGGTGTGTTCACCGAGTACTCTTGTACTTGATCTGTTTCCATTGGCTCCATCTGTTGGAACATCACCCGGATTCATTCATAATGAAAGTGTAATTTTAGCGAAAGTGTATTGCAAGAAAATAAAGTAAACAGCTACACTGTTACGACGATTAGCATGATGAATAGTCGGTGACAAATTCTACACATTCGTTGTTATAACAACGGCTCACCCCCAAATACAAGATAATGAGACTTCAAGTGCTTGAAAACTGTCTTGAAAATAAACAACAAACCTCCCACGAAAAACATTAGAAATAAACTAACACCATTTATTATGAATATATCTAACATACGAGAAAGTAACTTAACAGACAAACCTCGTGGTCTTTTCTCAGAGTTATAGAGAAAAAAAGGTAGCTGCTTAAACTAATTGCTGGGATTTCTAAGGAAATTGAGTGGGGTAGATCTAAGGTAAAAATACTTCAGAACCGTGTTCCACTCGTAAAATTTAAATATGATGGAGAAGATTTGTAGCTCAGGATGGATGATTTCCGTGTGGTTGTGTTATCTGAGCTGGACAGTTAATTTGCAAAGCTTTCATCGCCCCCTATTAGGTAACATATACTTCAATTTAAAGTGAGCTTTCAGATTTCTCCACGAGTAGATTATTAATTATCTCTTCTGGTAACCTTGGACGTGATTGGTTGTTTTTTGTGTGTTTTCACACCCTCTGGGCCACTTGTATTGGTACTGATTGTTTCTTTGACTTGAAAATCTCCCCTTTGTGTGTGAGATTTCCTACTTATCGGTTGATAAATTTTGTCTATCTTGATGTGTCTATTGATTGATGATTTATTGGAATACCAAATACTCTTCAAACCTTTAGGAATTGACGTCTCACACAAACCAACAAAATCACTTCCCTTCGCTGGCTGACTCTATGTCAACCAAACGACTCAACAACGAAAGAAGATAAGACCAACATCGTCTACAAAATAAATTGCAACAACTACGAAAAAAACACTACATTGGCCAAAGTGGACGTCCCTGCTCTTCATCTTCGTTTCCATAATCGTAAGCTAGCCATTAAAAGAATTGAAATCCACTCCCTCATATCGTCTCATTGCATGAAAAACAACCACGGACATTGGTTTAACTGGGACAACCAGTGTTCAACTATTAGACAGAGGAAACACCAAGTATGTTAAAGAATTATTAGAAGGCTGTCTGGTATTTCAGTGAATCATCAATCAATAGACACACCGAGATAGACAAAATTTACCAACCGATAAGAAGGAAATCCAGCACACATAGGGTCAAAGTTCAAGTCGAAGAAACAACCAGTTCTAATACAAGTAGCCTGTAGGTTGTGAAAACACACAAATACAACTAATCACGCCCAAGTTCACCAGGAGAGATGATTAATAAGCTACTTGTGGAGAAATCTAAAATCTCACTTCAAATTGAATAGATGTTACCTAGTAGGGAGCGATGAAAGCTTCGTAAATTAACTGTCCAGCTCAGAAAACACAGCCTCATAGAAAGTACTACAGAACCAATTGACCTACTCAAAAGTCACGCGTATGATAGCAATACTTCATAAGTGTCAAGCCAATATTTACCTGTTTTTTGTACTTCACACAAGAAAGTATCTAAAAAAAACAAATGTGCATACTCTTCTATACTATCAAAAGACAATTAATTTTAAAGTGAATTTAAAGTGACAAGCATACCATAAAGATGTTTTCTAGGCGAATTTTTGTTCATCGCACTTAGAATGTATTCTCGGAGTTCGCCTTCTCTATCAGCCTGACCATAACCGAAATCCTTATATTGGTAATCATCAATATTCTGTAAATGTTTGCAAAAAAACAAACAAGGGAAGATATAATTTTATATTGTATTTTGCATCTGCATATATTTGATATATTCTAAGGCAAAATAACTTTTGCTGTATCACACAGTGAGTGAAACAGTATTATTTACTGCATGACAATGTTTCGAACAAAATTTATTGGTCCTAATCATTTCATCAATTATAATCACACAACTTCAAAACTTGAATTTTATAGTTTTCTTTGTTCTCTCCTATTTGTCAACGTAGGCGTGGTAGTGGAATTTTCCAGATATCTGAATGGACAAGTGTTGAATAATTTTTATTACAAGTATTTGCAGTTGATTAGATGAATAAAGCTTCTGTTATCAATCTCTCCCTCCCTCCATCCTGTTACATTAGATTTTAAAACTATCATCTTATCCCATCCATCCTAGATTGTATGGTTGTGTGTACTTGCATGTAGTGAGTGTTATAGCTGAACTATTCTCTAAATTTCTTATCATATTCGGGTCAACTAATCTATATTTCGCTGCTAGGTTTTTATGCTCGGCTAGTCTGACTGCCTCTGCTGTACTAATTTGACCTATGTATTTGATCTGACAATCATTCCAGTCAGGTAGGGTATTAGATGAACTAAATTGTTTCATTTTATTGGCTTCACAGGATCCTTTAACTGACGAAGCTTATTTCTCATCGAATTTGTGGGTTTTAATGCCAGCGACGTTTATTGCTGCCTTATTAGAAATTCTGCGTAAGGTGGTTTCCGAGGTTCCTTCCTTGTATGGAAGTAGTAGTGATAGTTTATATTACCTATTGTTGGTCTTATCATTATCCTACGCATGTTTGACATACATGTAGTCATTAATATCATTATCACCATCAGTTCTATTGTTGTTTAGTTTATTTTTACATTCCCTACATACCTTTTGACTAATTTAACAGAGTAATTATTAAGTTTATAGGCACTTCTTATATGTCTCACTTCATGTCTTAGATTTTCCTTCGTACTACTAAGTTTTTGTGCTCTATTACTACTTAGGCATTTCACCAGTCCTACTTTCACTGACATGGGATGGGGTGGTCGGAAGTGCAAATATCTGTTTGGATGTGTGGGTTTCCTGTAAACACTAGTGTTTAACTTCCCATCTTCTTTTCTTTCTGTACGCTAAAATCTAACACTGGAAGCTCCTCTTACCGACTTTCCAATTCATAAGTGAATTGAATTGCCTCCACTTTTGAGTTAGTGTGTTTGAGAAGTCTGTCTGCATCCTATCTATCTATCTATATCCTGATTTCTGGAAAATTCCACTACCCCGACGACGAAAAATAGGAGAGAACAAAGAAAACTATAAAACTCAAGTTTCGAAGTCGTGTGATTATAATTGATGAAATGATTATGAACAATAAATTTTGTTCGATAGTGTGTCATCCAGTAAATACTAATATTGTTTTCACTCACTGTGTGATACATCTAATAAACAAACTAATATGGAATTAATAACTACCACAGTGCCTAAATTTTACACATCTATTAACTTTGGCTGGGCTTTCAGAATCCGAAGAATAAATCATACTTAGCCTTTCAGCTCAGCAAGTTGTTGTGCATCAGTTGTGTTGTAAGAAAAGAAATGTGTGCATACACTCGAATATCTCTGCGTTATTTTGTTTAATACACTTCGCACGTTATACACTTTGTGGATGAAATTAGCACTGAATAATTGAATCAGAAGTCCAGCGTTTTATTCCTTTCTAACTAGAAATAACAAATATTTCAAATCTTTGAAAGGCAACACGTGAAAATTAATCCAATGGTCAGTAGTAACTCACTAAGGGATGAATTTATCTGCACTTTTTTTACGTGAATTCATGATCAGTGGGGTCCATCAAGTTTAGCGTAAGGAGAGATGCTCACTGATGAGGCTGGCTGGTGACCTCACTGTATATCATGGATTGGCAGAAGTTAGAAGTGATGGGGCACTGAATTCCGTCCCCTGGCTGAATGATACTCTCGTTCTCCTTGCCTTCCTAATGTCCTGAGTTGGACTCCTGGAATGAAGCCATGGTTGCTTACTTCTAAGTAGTCGTCAACAATGACGAGACAACTTTCCATCACTCTCTGCTTTTGAGTGGTTCTCGGAGTAAAGTCAGCTCATGATCAGCATTAAAAACATGTATCTGGTGGTAATGCATGATTTTCAAAAAATACTTATATCATGAAAATATTAAATCTCTGAAGTAAATGCCGTGAAGAGGCCTTCTTATATTAGAATTATCACAGTGATCACGAAACCATTTATCCCATAATTTTCATCTGACAATGCTTTTTTGTTTTTATGACTAACATGGTTTATACTTTCTAATTTTTTCTCTCTCTCACCTGCAAAATCAGCATTTCTTTATTGAATTGGATTTTTTTTGATTCTCCCGTCGATTGATTGGACCGAAGTGCTCGGTCTCAGGTTGACATGTCGGCTTCTTGTGCAGATGCTTCGATGATGTCCGGGCATTTAGTTAGTATACAATTGGTGGATGGTGGCTAGCAGTGGAATCCAGGATGCGCTGAGAAATGCAGGTACATCCAGCTGACGAGTCCCAAATAGGACGAAATGCGCATCCTGGATTCCACTGCTAGCCACCATCCACCAATTGTATACAGCATTTCTTTGTCTATAAAAAGGAATCTAAGACCGAGAGGCATAACTTCACCAGTTGGTTTGCAGGAATTTAACTTGGATGAAGTCAAATCATGAACAGACATCAGTTAGAGAACCATTACAGGCAGAGAGGACTGGACTACTTTGGGACTAGTTACTATTACGCACCCATGAACCCACTGGGGATAAAACCCAGAATCACCACACAGCCCCTTGTTAGAAAATCTTGTTTTGAAGTTGAAATGTCGCAGAAGGTTTGCTCATTATGCTTAAATGAAATAAATGAATAAATAAGTAGTGACTGGCTGCAGAATGAAGTTGGCTGGAGTTCTGCTAGGAAGTCGTGACCAACTGGGACCAGCCGGTCACCGATGACACTTTAAAATCGTGTTAAAATCATGAACTAGCAGAAGTTAGGATTTACAGGGCTGGTCATCAATGAGTCGAGTTCCAACAGGCTTAATGGTCAGTTACCTTGCTTTGTTACAGGAAGGTGTTTTTGGATCCAAATCTCAGTAGGTGCGTGTTGATAAATGGTCCCAGACTAGGATGAAACAGCTGCTCAGTACACCCTGATTTTCGATGACACTCAAACTGATATCAGTCCACGATCAGAATTCAAATAAAATCAAACCGCTACAAACTAGACCTTGAGAAGTATTGCTTTTATTGTTTACCTAAATAAAATTCAGCAGTAGTTCAACAAAGCGAGTTTATTTTGGCATCTATGGATATAACTACTTTGATTGGACACTAGTCAGCAACTAGTGTGATGTGTCTAGTCCTCCTTTCTTTCGTGCAGACTGAATTCTACCAGTCACGTTTGTAAAGTGGCCACCAGTCTAGGTAGCTCACCATCACGGTGCGCATTTATTTGATGATATTAGATGGTTGAAGGCAATCGGTTACAGAAAGCCTTTCCTGACCTAGTTTTCGTGGTAGTTCGCACTTGTCAGCAAGAAACGACTAGACACGTCACACTAGTCACTAACGTCTAATCAAAGTATCCAATACACAGTCCAATAGGAGGTCAATCACGAGCCCGAATAGCTCAGTGGAAACGCCTCTGACTCACTGCAGCACTCAGTGACGCCGGTTCGAATCTCAGAAAGGTCATGAATATTACTTTAATCCTCCAAGGTTGCAGATAGGCCTTGATGACTGGTGAGTTCCAACATGCACGAAACCAATGTCAGGCTTGGCTTCCTGTCGATTGCTTCCAACCATCTAATATGTGTATAACTGCATTATTGAATAATGTTCACAGTCAAAGCTTCATTCTCGAAAGCTGGAAGCTTTCATCAATTAGAAATGAGCTGTTATTTAGTATCACTGAATATTCCATTGAGTGACGTAAATCAATAAAGTGTAGAACAGTTTATTTGAAAGTATAGAATCGATAGATTCAATTGAAAAAAAAACTAAATGTAATCTAAAACATTCCCGTTGAATCTCACCTCGTCGATATTGTCATCATTATTTTCATCTTGGGCTTCTTTCGAATTTTTCCCCTTCTTTTTCTCTTCCTCCTCCGGTTGATTACTTCTATTAAATTTAGCATACAAGACTCTATTTGAAATAGACTTGGCGACATTTAACGATTTTTCTAACTGTGGTACAGATTTCAATTCTGTATATTCATTTGGAAGTAGTAATTGTCTGCACATTTTTCGTGATAACTGTTTCATAATCTGACTTAATTTTATAGCCATTTTGTTACTGCTCCCAGGAGGTATTATTTGTTCAGTATAACTCGATTGTTTTGATGGATTCCCAGGTATAACCATGTGCATTTCATTATTACTGTACTTTGTTGTTGTTGTTGTTGTTCTTGTTGTGTACTCAGATGTGCCATTATGTGAAATGGGCAGATTCATGTATTTATCATTCATGTGAGGCATTTTTATCTAAAAATATCAAACCAGAGAAAAATATTTATACAGATTTGTGAATATAAACGTTTATTATTATTATTTTTTTTTAAATGCATAAATAAAGTACCACACTTTTCTGGTAAAGGTAGATAGATGTTTATTCAACAAATGAGGGATATTTTATAAGTTATTGATGTATGTTTTTGGACGATGATTGATTTTCACGTTAAAGTACTCATCAGGTATTCATGTAAGCGATGAAAAAAGAAACGCAAACAAAGTTTTACAGAACTTAATCTTCTAGCTATTATTTCAAAGATAACTGTGGAAAATCAGAACAAATGATTCAGCGAAGAGATTCTTTTCACCAGTGAATTTATTATGAAGCTGTACAATCATGTGTATATACATATATATGACTTTTACGAAGTTATATCCGATGAGAGAAATGAATCATCGGTGTGAAGGCATAAAATAATAACAATATTAAATTTTCAAGTATTGGTTACCTAGGGAATTTAGTTTGATTAGTTGGAGGATTTCATCACTAACTGACATCAACTGGAGACAATTTTTCATTTTTTTTCATTTTGTCTATTCAATTTGTATACTCTTCTTTATTACGTGAACTGTTACTACTACTACTCTCACTTTGAACTATCCCCAGTATTATTTCACTTATTCCACTTGTCATTCTAAACCAGTTTTGTTTCGCACTTATTCTATGTATGACATTAATCGTGTTGCCACTTGACATTTAACTACGATTATAAACTTAAACACTTTAATTTTATCTACTTGTCGATAGTATGAATTATTGAAGACAAAGTGAACATTCATTGTGCATTTAAGAAGTAATTCTTTGAGGCTACACAAGGGGATTCCTGAATCCAATCGCCTTTCGGTGATTTCTTGACAAATATAATCTACTGTTTCCATAAGCGGTACGTTAGTGAATAGTGATGATGCATCCATTGATAACATGCGTTTATACCTCACATTAGTCTGTGATATTTTAGAAATAAAGTCGAAGACATCAGTATTTCTATGCTGCACGATTTCTCTGTGCAAAGAACCCAGAATCTTCACTAACCACTTCGCTGTTCCGTGAAATGGAGAGTTATACATATCTAAAACAAGGTGAAGAGGAAGACCCGGTTTGTGCACTTTTGGTAGACCGTAATAACGCGGAGTATTGGTACCCGTTGGTTTCATGGACTCATACGTGGTTGACGATAATACTCCTATTTGGTTCAGGTTTTGTGGGAGTCGGTCATAAGTTTCTCTGCTCTAAAACTAGGGTCTTTGAAAACACCAGGAGGTTGGAATTTAGTTTGATCACTCAAAATACCTTCCATTTTCTCAACATAATCGCTTTTGTCCAGGAAAACTATACCATCACCTTTATCTGGCTTGCTAATAATTAAGCTTTCGTTGCATCTAAGTTCTCTTAGAGCTTCTCTGTGTTGCTTAGATAACAGACTATTTACTGAATGTTTATTATTCTTGTATTGCTGGCAGCTGTCAACTAGCGTCGTTTTGAACCTGGTTAGTTCATCGTCCGATGATTGGGTAAGATCTAACGCTTGAGAATACAAATTTTCAAATTATCTATCAGTGTCGAATTGGTCAACCTTATGAGCATAATCACTAATTTTCGGACATAAAGATAACACCTCCAATTGAAACTTATTAAGCACAGCACTGGAAAAATTGTGAACATACCGGCCCAAAACTGACGGAAATTCTTTTTCAATCTTTTGACTTTCGAGAGATTTGACAAGACCTATCCTTTTATTATTACTTCTGTTTACTGTTACGTTATTAATATATTCAATGAACATCACTTGTCATTCCTGAGGTAAATCATCAATTGAAAATTGTCTTTGTGATATGTTCCTTTCTAGATCATTTATAAGAGTTTTAACAGAATCTATCTGATTAAGAGTATGTCTTTTTAAACTCTTAGGATAAGGATAAATCCTCATTCGCCTTAACGACCTCCATTATACATTTATAAAGTTATATTTGTAAAAATCTCAGCGAAATTGAAATGATTAATTCCAACGTTTCGTTCGGCAATCTGGTCCGAACTTCTTCAGGGAAATTAATCGAAATTATTTTGAAAGTCTGAGGTCAAAAGTTTTTTGGTCATAGTTCATACAATTTTTGTTTTGTTTTGTTTAGCATACCTATTGATTGTACTATTTTACTTTTGTATAAACATACAATTGTATTTGTTTATTTATGATACATGTTGATACCTGTTGCATGATTCATGATTGGACAAGAATTTTAAAAACAAGATGTGTCCCTTTATATATAAACTTTGTTATGTTAATTTCGATTAATTTCCCTGAAGAAGTTCGGACCAGATTGCCGAACGAAACGTTGGAATTAATCATTTCAATTTCGCTGAGATTTTACAAATATAACTTTATAAATGTCTACTTCTCACTCAGCGCTCAATTATTTTGCAACTATCCGATCAAATCTTGATCACAGTTCGTATGACCTCCATTATAGTTTGAGATAACGTTCGAATTCTACACATTCTTTGAGAAATTCCAACGATATTTTCGCTTCAGCGAGCCTTGCACTAAACTACAGGTACTCATTGAGTGCCTTAAATGCAATAGGATCCCCACGAGATTTCAATATATTAAATATTCCCATAGTAAAAATTTAGAACAACATATTTAAACGAACAATATTGTGGTTTCAATTAGACCTCATAAGGCCTAACTCCAATATACAAAACTTTGCAAATAAAAATTCAAATATAAACCAATCATGGTGTTTTGTCTATAGGATAATAAGATAGTGAATACATATTGTGCAATTAGTCATAATAGTAGTATTGATGATGATAATAATAATGTTCTTATCAATAATAAGGATGAAAAAATGAGGCAATCTATGATAACACGATTAATTAAAAACAGCATGATTAAGCAAACAAATTTTAATTGCATTTCATACTATTATTATTATTTTATGCATTCACACCTATTATTCAATTCCCTCATCGGTTACAACTTCTTAAGAACTATACAACTTGATAATAAATTCGTTGGTGAAAAGTATCTCTTGGCTGAATCATTTTTTTGATTTTCTATGTGTTACAATGGGAATTTTCCATGAACTGTAGAAAGGTCTCTAAGAATACAGTTTTATGATATCATGTGTCTTTTACTGGTAATGTCTAGCTAACATACAATATGTCTTCATCATATTCTGACCTTTCTGATATCTAAAGAAAGATATTAAATGCGGCAACTTGAACTGATTTGCTGTAGTGTTTAGTCCGGTGCCATAGTGTCGGTTAGACGACTTGAGTGATAAGAGTCTAGTGAGCCTTGAATATCTGAATTTTTGTTTTAACGCATTCATTCACTATGGCGCCACACCATTTTGTGATTTCCGGAGTGACTGTTCACATGTGGTTCACTCCCTTGTTGTGCTACCATTAGGCCCTCTACCCATCCGGGCAACAGATAAGTAGTAAAACATTCTTATTTATTAAAATTGATGTTTAATCTGTGTAAAAATACAACTCTCATCAGGACACCCTACCCAGTGTCCAGCGTTTTTACTTTTAGTTTGTCAATCAATAGTTATACACTATGTAGAGTACTGCTAAGAGTATTAAGAAAAGAAGTCTTTAGTAAGTGCTGTTAGTTAAGGTCTATCTCGGGTACGATCAACACTTACAAGAGGATGGATTTTGATGCCTAGTCTCCACTGACTGTATAATTCACACTTGCATTTGTGTTTCTCCACTAAACATAAAAACCTACTACCATCCATTTTACATTTCATAACTTGTGATTGCATACTAACAGGGATATTCATTAACAGTATTTTACTTTAACTGTCTATCCGCAATTGAACGTTAGCAGGGATTAATACGCTTTGAAATGTTATACTACATTGGGAGGAGATGAAACTAAAGACAACCCTCATAATTTAATACTCATCATCTGATTTAAACTTTGTCTTTGAATAAGCATTTTTTTTAAACATCAGATGTTAACAGGTGATTACTCACTAAAACTTTGAAGGCGGGAAAGATAAATTAAACAGACTTTGCTTTATGAAATAAACAGCAAGCTCATTTCAACCATTAGAAAAATAGTTTTTTTTTTCAAAGTCATTTTCAGAGCACCAAATGATTGTAAGGACATTCACCTTAAGAAAATAAAAGACAAATTCGGCGAAGAAAGTGCTTCTTTATCGACGAAATCATCTTCACAGGCTGTACAGTCGTATTTATACCGACCAAAAGAGTATATTGATCTATTATTGATATAATTACTCAGAAGTGGCTTTAAAAGTAAAAAAATTAAGAGTTGTAAATTACCTAGCACTCAACGGCACAAAGGAAGAAAGGGTTAGGAATTTGATAAGGCTAAACCTGCTACGACAATGCCGCATGCCAATTAATCCTCAACGCGAAACTTACGGAAGCCTTCGAAGTGAGGACGGGAGTGAGGCAAGGCTATCTACTATCATCAATGATCTTCCTGATCTCAGTAGATTGGATAATGCGACAGACAGCGGCCGGCAATGAGGAAACAGGCACAAAATGGACTCACACAAAAAAATAACTTCAAGGATCTGAACTTTGCCGGTGATATATGTCTGATTTCCCACAAACTGGAAGATATGCAAGTGAAAATCAACAAGCTGGCAGAAGAAGCATCGAAGATAGGACTTCAAGTGAACATAGATAAAACAGAGGTAATGAAGATTCCTGGCCAACAACAACAGACAACAATCAGCCAGCATAAATAAGAGGAACCTAAAAGAAACAACCTCCTTCACCTACCTACCGACCGACCTGGGAAGCATCGTTTCAACTACAGGCGGAACTGACGAGGATGTCAAAGCCAGAATCGGAAAAGCAAGACAAGCTTTCATTACTCTCAAATCTCTGTGGAGGTCACCAGCACTCAGAATCAAAAATAAGATCCGGATTTTCAGCTCCAATGTGAAGTCAGTCAGTGCTACTCACTATGCGGATC